CCTGTGAAAATAGAAATAATTTCTCTGGCTTTCACTATGTCGAAATTGAATGAGACCACGAGGAAAATGAAATGGCATCACTCCAATTGTCAGACGCCCGATTATAACTGTCCTGTAGTTTTGAGAGAATAATTAAGCAGATCTAGCATTAAAATATGTTATAAACACCTAAAATTATCCTGAAATTGATTCTGCGTATTGGTAAATATTTCCCACAGAAGTGACAGGCCCTGTTTAAGTGCTCTTTACGCTTTTGAATAAGTGAATAACGCATTGTCGGTCCGTTCAGTCCGTATGTAAGGCTTATTGTCGTCTGAAAGTGTTACAAAACAATTACAAATTAAACGATACGTGACAAACCACATTTCTTTATTTATAAGAAGTTCAAATTCCAATTTTTCAAGGGGTCCATAAGGATTTTATCTATCTCATTACCCTTTAAACTCGCTGTCTGGTCACAAAGAGAGAAGATGACCAAATTAAATATTATTATGTTATCTTTCAGTGATAATATTGTGCACAGCCTGTTACAAGTGCTCAGAACACTTCCAGACGAACATCTTGTAAATTCAAGGTCGATATTTCTAAAGGCATTGTTATAATTCGACATGTGCCAGTGGTTATCTACGAACAGTTAAGCAAATTATTACTAAAGTGTGTTCTATCGCATGTAGGTGGAGGTCAGTGCCAAATAATTTGTAAATCAGTAATCATTATGTACAAAGTATATTTATTACTGATAAAAATTATCCTCTTAGAAGAGGCTGTTGTTAATTACTAGTATTTTGAAATATTTTGTTGGATGACAGTAAATCGACTTCAATTAACACAGATTTGTTCAATATAAATCCAACTTAAAGCGATCTGGTCACATAACTGGGGCGAGAATTTGAAAGTTGATACACTAGGCTAGAACTGACGTTCATCACAGAATAAAACAAACAAAACTACTGTTACTGACGATTATATTCGCAACTGCAGCCTAAGAGGAGGAAAAGTTTAAATGACCACTAAATACCAGTAAAATGAGCAAAATGTACATATTAAAATTTCCGTTTTTAATCACGCGATGGTCTCAAGTTCTTCTTTATATTGTATCTTTACCATATATTTCGCGTACAGTTTTAAATGTGGATCTCATATTTCTTATGTACTCAGTTCTTTTAGTGCAAGCCACGCAAAGCATTTTTGGTAATGTCAAAGGCACGTTTTAGTTTATAGATTTTCGTCATCCACTCTCGGTCTGTCGATGCGCCATGTTTATAATGTTTGCTTGTAAACAATAGTGATGGTATATTCCTAATTTATCTTCTTAACAAAATTTCATACTCCATGTTCTAATCTTTTATCAGTTACTACTATAAAACTGAAGTGTAAATTTTAAAAAAAATTACATGACCGCCATATTGTCCTTTCAGTTTACGTTCTATAGAAATGTAACCGAACTAAAGTTAAATTATTTCTTTTTTGAATTTCTGGATCATATATTAGGTGGTGATAGCGTCACTCCCACTTCAAAAATTTGCATGGCATGTTACGTCACGTCCGCCAAGTCATTGTTACAGATTATAAATATATTAAGGAAATGCTAAATTTTCTGAGATTCCAGATTACAAAATGTTCATATGACATTTAATAAAAATGTGTCAGTGTGGTTAAAACTTTGATGGGGTAATTCACAGCATGGTAATCTCGTGATGCTACTTTTATCGAAGGAGAAGAAGAAAAAGAAATAGGTAGAAAGTAAGAAAATAAAATAGATTGTATTTTTGTTAGTTATGTTTATTTGTTGTCCGACAATGCGCTTTACAAACACAATACATAAAAGATTTGTAAGGTACGAACAGACTTTCATGGGTTAAGTTCAATTATGACTCATGACTGTGTCATCACTGTGGTGAGATTTTCAACAGTCATAAAATAAAATACGAAATATTTAATGCCTTGTAATATTAAAATCACATAATTAAAATAAAAAAATTTAATATAAATTGCAAGAGACCAATTTTAAAATTACAGCAATCCATACATCCAATATATGGACAAACATCCAAGCATCTGAAAATGTCTAACAATTCCCGGTCGCCGGTTAACTCGGGCTAGATCCAGAAAACAAAGATTTGACCGCCCGATTAAAACTCTAATAAGATATAAAGGCAAAAAAAAATCGATACAGCTATTGCGTGAATAATCAGATATCCAAATTTTGATTTTGACTTGGGGTAACAAATTTTGTACTCAACCCCACAAAGTCTCAAAATAATTCCACAATGATTTCTCGTTTACGTCGAATAAAGACTTAACTAAGCACCACGCCATGCAGAGGAGAAAATGGAGATGCAACTCCACACATTCTAATCATCAGCACTGGAAGGAGATGAGTGGCCAGTTTCACGTCCCGGCCGCTCTACCCCTGAGGGAAAAGCTCCAGTAACCACCGGTCTGAATGTTGTGGAGAAAAGTTAAATCCTGTCTGTCCGGGATTCTGACTCTGGTCGCCCAGTTTTCTTGTACTGTCTGAACTGAAAATCATTAACATTTCTTTGCTTCAATATTTCTTAATAGACGCTCTGGTGCATAACTTCGATGTTCTTTCGTACGAATTTTATCCAAATCATTCACATTCTTTGCCTTTTGTTTCATTAAATTTTCACAAATTAACATGCTGGTGCTCTCTGCAGTTCATTCTTCAAAGCTTCTTTAACGTTTCAACAACTTTATCACAAATTTACGCAACTTGCGCAAATTATTAAGCGGTTAAATCAAATTCACATAATCATGGCCGTTACAGTATCACGTCTCATTGTTTCCTTTGTCTGTCAAATGCTCGCTTATCAAGAGTTTTCTCCAACAAATTACAGTGTGCGGTTACTGATACGCAATTGTCTCCACCACCAATTCACATGCCACAGATACTTCACAATGTAACGACCGAATAGACGAACCTAAGAATCTAACATTGACTTACGAATTTTAGACCAAAAATTTGTTCCTTAATTTAAAGTGATCGTTGTGTTTTGCTAATATCTCGTCTCTCAGGACTACAGGCGTTTGATTCTTGAAAAAGCAGTTTTTACTGAACCTTCCAATACTACAAATGACGCGACCACTAACAGAATTATGGTTGTAATTCTGGCTGTATCGTCAGAGAGCAAGTCCAATCCGGTCGCTTCAGAAGCTACACCAAGTACAAACGTAAGTATTCCGATAATAATATGACAAAGTTTGTTGTGTGAAGGCTTGATCCAATTCTGGAACTTGGAGGCGTAGAGGGTAAGGAACCCACCAGCGCATGTGACGAAACACAGAATGGTAGCTACCAAACCAACTATGGCGTGATTTGAGATAAAATGGGATCGACCCGCTACGTTTTTGTTAACTATGATAGTTACAAAGCCGACGAGGTTACAAATGGCAGCTAATATCTGTATAATCCAATGATGTTCACGGACGGTTTTCTGGAGGCTCGGAATCAAGAATGTCAAAATGTTGTCTTTCGTTAGCACGATTATGGACTCGGCCATCAACAACGAAAACTGAAAATAAAAAAAATAAAATTTATTCTAGGGCCCAATTTCATTCGAGTGAACGTAATAAACAGCAATTATTTATTTTAATCCGTCTTATCACAATATTTAAAATTTCTTATAATTAAGATAATAAAATATCATTGATCGATTTACATTTCGAAATGTAAATCGATCAATCGATATGGAACATCAATGATATTTTATTATCTTAATTATAAGAAATTTTAAATATTGTGATAAGACGGATTAAAATAAATAATTGTTATAATATTCACAATATGACGCAATTACAATATCTTATAATAAACAGCATCGAACAATGACTTCATGAATTCAAAATTATTTCACACAAATCTACTTACCCCCAAAGTAAAAAACGATGGATGCCAAGAATATAAATTTGCCACTTTAAAACTGTCATAGAATATATAAATCGTTAAGCCTGTCAAAACGATAAGACTTAATGCAGTAGAAGTTATCCTGTAAATTCTATACACACTGCTCCCCGAATCGCCATTATCAGCCATGTCGGTGAGTTGGGTTAACGAATGTTAACAGACGATGCAAGAAACATTACTGATCGCAATTAACCAGCTGGGTGCCTTAAATAAAGTACAGCTTATCGATAAGATAACGCAAGAACATCACTCTCGAATCATCCCTAACAAATGAAGTAAGTTGTCGTGTCGCGAGATTTCAGTTTAAACGTTGGAATCTTCGAGGTTTCTGTTGTCGTGGTAGTTCAAATTCTGTTCTTCTGAGTTATGACGCCTCGTAGTTTTGTAGGTGGTTAAATCTATCCATAGGGTAGATTTAAAACGTCTACTGTTAACAGTTTTTAGCGCTCTTCGCCAATTTCCATAGTGAAATTTCGTTCCGAAAACGTACACTAATAGATATTTTCAAAAACACAATGCACTTGAAAACTGTAAGCACGTATATAAACAGGAGAAATAATATCGAAAGTTCATAAAATAATTTCATAAATATAATCTAATTTTAGAACATGAGAGAATAATACGTTATGAATTAGCTAATGCCTGACAGATACGAGAGTTGATAATTTTGATAATTGTTAACAATCTTTTAGCAAATCGAAGTTAGATCTGCGATAAGAATATTATATTTTAGACGATAAGATCACATTAAATATCAGATCTTTCAAAAAGCATTATTACTGTCGATCACTCCATAAATATCGATACATTTTGCCAGTATTAATTTTATTTTCTGGTCTCGAAAATGTTTAATAACATGAATTTACGCATTGCAGCCATATTGGACTCTTTAAACAGCTGTGGACCCATTCGCACTCATATAAAATTACGCGCTCCTGAAATACTGGCTAGACGAAGCCATGACGTTGCATTCAGGCAAATTCTTTACTTCTTATCAACATTTTTCTTATGCATCGTGCACGTGGTTACAGAATGACTTAGCACTGCGTCCAGTTTCGTCACGAGATGCCAGGGTAATTGAAATTTTATCAAAACCTGTAAGTATAAAAATGTGTCATGTGATGGTAAGATAAATAATTACGTAATATCCACTAAAGATGTCGTTAAAATGCGTGATTTTTTGTACGTGTTTATTTTTATACGCCCTGAAGATGGAGGCAGTATTTTTCTTATAAAAGTCTGTATCTACCTAAAGGCCCACACAGCGTCACAACCTAGAAGTCCAACATCGACAAACTGCCTTAATATCGATCTAAGAACTCTGTGTTAATTTGTTATTAACCTCGGTTACAAAAAAACTTCACTTATAAACAGTAAAATTCTTCACATAAGCGTCACAAGTCTCTTTTAACATTTATATGTATCATAATTCGTTTTATATTTCAACCTATCAAAATCACAAATAAAGATAGCTGTCTTCTAAGATTCTCCGACGTTTCAGAGGTGCTTACTGCTGTTAATCCGAGCGATTAATTTTCATGATGGAGGCAATAAGCACCTCTGAAACGTCGATCAGCTACTTGATTACACGGCGTAAGATAACAGAAAACAGTCATCTTCAGCTGTAAAACTGTCCGAAACGACAGCACACATTCGATTAGGTTTTTATTTAAAGCCAATTGGCATCACATACCTGAACTAGAGCAAGGGGTCTTCGAAATCTATTGACGTCACACTGAGAGGAAAAAGGGTTCTGTACCGGAGTCCAGAACGCGTTAGTTTCAGACGGGGCCTGAAACCTTCGTCGGATAGACTGTGTCCATGAGCGAGTCTGAAACCAAACTTCACGATGTACTTGGCGGCTTCAACCCACCACCTCCTGGCGTCTTGACGTCTTATCTGAGCTGCCATCTTCGGGCTGATTCCAACAGTGTGCGCTCCATCGTGTTGGAAATGATGATGATGCCTCTGACAACAGAAAGTAGCTTCTTGATGACTACCCGGATATGTTGCTCGACGCAGGATGGAGGCGTACGTAGGAGCTGCAATGCGTTCAATTTCTAGCTGTAATCGTCGACTTTTGGGTCTGCACGATGGAGGAGAACCGGATGTTGACCGTCGAAGTTCGGGCTTCTTCTGTTGTTGGCGTCCGCTCTGGGATTTCGTGTGCTCCTTGGGGCCTCCCCCTTCACCGCCGAATAGGCCCCGAGATTCCGCAATGTCGATCATGTACCTCGCATTCAATCGGACAATCTCCTGTGCAGTGGAAATTACATCCGTTCAGGAAAAGTCTACAGCTGTAAAGGCCATAGAATAATCTGATTCTTTCCATCCTCAATATATTACACCGAATTTCTCAGTTTTATCTAATGACGCAAATTTAAGTGCAAATTTTAATGTTACGAGTGATTCAAGCCTTACCTTAGTCCAAGGGCAGAACTTCTTGTTGAGAAGCTAACAGTCGCTCAGATAGTCGAAAAATTCGAAGTTTCCTAGGTAATGCAAAGGTTCATTACCGTGTTCGCAATAGCCTGCCACTGGACCTTACGCTAAGCCAGATAAATCCAGTTCTCACCTTTACGTTATTTTTTAAACATCCATTTTAATAATATCCTCACATCTTTCCAGTAGTCTCTTCCCTTCTAACTTCCATAGGAGACAGTAAAGCTTCAGTACATGAATACTTACTGCTTACCAGTACGTTATTAAACAATTATACTACGCCAAGCAAATAGGCCTATATTTCTTTTAAGTGGTCTACAATGAGGATATTTGGTGACTGTGCTGGTGGGATGGTACGGTCTTTCCGCTGTGAGGAATCAATGCGTAGGTAGTAGCTTTTTCCAATCGTAGCGGCACAGCCGCCAAATAACCCATCTGCATAATTCATATGATTCCAAGAGCTTACCTTTCTGCGCACGTATGCCAAGTAGCAGCCTTGTTCCTCTAGATTGACGCAAACGTCTTTGTCTGAACAGAGGGTAGGCAGAGCGCGGAGCTCAAAAATATCACATGGCGGTACCTGAGAAATCAAAAACGTCGTGTAACAAGTTCGGCATACATGTAAACCCATGGAATACGTTAGCATCTGTAGTTAAGGCTGTAGTCCCGTAGAAGTTAGACAACGTTTCAGAGGTGTTTAATGCCTCTGTCTTCAAGGCGATATTCGGTAAATTTCTACGAGAAGTCATGGCGTAATATCAGAAGACATTCAACGTCATTAAATCGTATAGTCACGTGATGCAAAAAGCGATCAGTCCTGTTAATTGGAAGGTGAAAAAGGGAGAGTTATTATTTTGTCAATGTATAAGCACATTAGCCGGTTAGTAATCAAATGTTACGTCGATCTGAAAACACCTTCGAATAATGCATAATTAGTGAATTTATTACGTAGGAAACATACCAAGAAACAAAATCAAATCACCCATTAAGACTCCAATGTTCTGAAAAGTGATTTATAATTTTTGTACAATAAAAACAACACAGATGATAAAAGCACGCAGCGTCGAATGTTAAAATCGCCCAGCGTTTCGACAAATACTGCAGTTGTCATTTTCAGGGTTTAGCTAAAGTTCACTCTGAAGATGGCAAAATGGAATGTTTTCCGAAACGTCGGATAACTTTCAACCTTAGATGCGGAATTGTACATTGAAGTCCAGTCGCGAAAATCTATGGACGAGAATAAATTATGTCACAACTACATTAGATCTGAGGTTTGCACATCTGTGAAAACGTGGATTGTGGTTTTCCGGGTTATTAAGAAGTGTGGTCTTGTGGGTGGTTTTGGAGAACACGTCGCCTGTATGTTTTACTCTGAAGATGGAGGGACTGCTTCCCACCGAACCGGTGGTAACCACATGATAGAAAGTCTACGCGGGGTCAGAATACCACAATCCACCGAGGTACAGATATATTATTTTATTTATTACAAACAACGATAAGATATTTGAATAACAATTTTCTTGGATATTATCCATCGTCTAGTAAATAAAATATAAAACGTAAAACGACGTTTCGGAGATGGGGCTCTATCTCCGTCTTTAGGTTCAAATGACTCATCACCATTGTCAAGAACTTTTAGATTTGATAAACGATAAGATATTTTAAAATATATAATAATTTTATGAAACTAAATGCGATACTGGACAGTCGTATGTAATTAACACTGGAAAATACGCCTGTCAAAGTTGATTAGAATTGAAATGTATTGTTAAATGTAAATGAAGTCATATCGTATGTGAATTACATAAAATCAATAGATAGTTATGTATCTTATCAGTTGTATATAATAAGACGAGCTTTAACGCGTCTAGCATTTGTGCCAGAAATAAGAGGGCTTAACGGGCTCAGGATCAAATGCACCTAAGATCAGACATAACAGTTCAGAACTGAAAAACGTGAACACACTTAACAGTGACGTGAAATATTCATAACCTTACTCAATCTGAGAACAATAATTCCTCTCGAACACGTACTTTCATTGTAATTTAAGGACGCCTTCGGTAACCCCCATTATCCGTACCTGTTTCCCTAAGAGCCATTTTAATATTATCCTGACATCTATGCCAAGGTCTTTCGAGTTCTGTCTTTCTTTCAGGTTTTACAACAAAAACTTTTTACATATATCTTATCAAAGTCATGCGTGCTACATGCTCTGTTGATCTCATCCTACAAATTATCGAGCCTTTCAGTACACTATTTTTCCCAGTCTCTTACACCGTGCTCTTAAACGCCCTAAATCTCGTTCACCCAAACCTAAAAGTTGGTTTTACAAATACAGATAGATATTTTAGTGTATTTTGATCTAAGAATAATACAGGGTGTGAGAAATTAATGATATTATATGTGAATAAAATTCCCGATGTATACAGCTCATCTTCTGTTACGATAGTTAAATCTTGGGGTTTTGTGATGGGCTGGGCATGTAGCTAGGATTTGGGGGAATCGGATAATACGTGCCTAAAGAATTGTGGAGAAGGAATCTCGCGAAAAACAACAAAGAAAGTGGATAAATACAATTAAAATGTATCTAATGACACGGGAATACAATCCTAGACGAAGAATATCAATTATCAAACCAAGGAAGACAACTTGTGGTAGCAGTCAGTGGAGGAACTCACCGATTTATCTGTTTCCGGCAATTCGGGGCTGCAAGGGTCAGCCCGGTCAATGTTCTGAAAGGAAACGACGCTGGTTCCAGACGCCGCGACAGTCTCCCCTCCAGACCCAGAGCACGCATCCGACGCCTCCTTCTTGAAGGCCGAGAACACGTGTTCTCGCTCCTCCAGGTGTTTGTCGCGCGCTGTCCTGTTCATTTCGTTCACCATTCGAGTCACCATTTCGCTGTTCTCTGCTGGTACGACCGAATGTGTCTCATACAGGACGACCTGTATCTACAACAGGCAGTGAGGAATGCCACAGACCGACAGCAGATCTGACCTGACATCTGAGCGTCTCATGACAGTAAAAACGTTTCGCCTACTAGCCTACATGACGTCATGACCGACAACCCACCTTAACAGGATCGAATCAAGGAGGGCGGGATTGGCAGGGAATGTAGCACGAATGGGAGATAATATGGATAAATAAGTACTATTAGTCGGAAACAGTAACAAATGTTTGAGATGCAGAATATCTAACTTGAATTCTCATACGTGCTTTCCCTTCTAATCTTACGTAAAGTGTAACTCAGTACAAAGACCACAATCATTCTTCAGAAATTGATAATAAAGAAATTCGCAATCATCTGCTAGATTTGGATGTTCATTAGTTTGCTCATCAGAGCTTGCCACTAGACCAAACAGTAAGCCATTTTAATCCAGCACATATCCAAGTTATTTAATATTTATTTTTATAATATCCTCCCATCTGCATTTAGATATATCGTGATCTCTTCCGGTATTACAATTGAAATTCTGTGTACATTTCTCATTTCCCCATGCGTAATATTAGTTAGACTTTAATATTTTTAAGTTTATACTATCGCTTACGTAACTACTTTAATTTTAAGATTTGCGGTTCTCACTGCCGTGTTGGTCTTCTGGGTTGTAATGTTGCGCGGTAGTTTTGGTGGGAACCAATGTTTCGGACGAACGTACTGCCTCCATCTTCGGTGACGAAAATTTGGTACCCGACCACGAGTCCACATGTCGTCACAAGCCAGAAGATCATCACGGCGTATGACCTCTGTCGAATTTTCAAACCGATAAGTAAATCGCGTTCTGAAGGAACTTACTTGAGGTCTAGACATGGAGAGTCGAAGCGTCTGGCGCTGTTCCTCCAGGACGGCGGTCACCCGTACCAGCGTCCCGTCCTCCGTGTCTGTCAGCACCTCTAGCATAGCCAAGTCCCCGCCTCGACCGCACGCCAAGTCCACCGGGTCAGTTACACCCGAGTACGTGTTGTTCGGTGTCGCCAGTACCGCAACCACGTTCTGCAGCAGCGCGCTCCCCGCCGAAACGTCCACAAACTTCTCGGCACGTACGTCAACGTTCGTCACGCCCAAGTGTCGGAGATAATCCTCATATTCGTCCCTCCTGTTGTCATGGGATAAACCCAGCCTTTATGAAACACACAAAGTTCATTATCGTGTTCATAACAGCTCGCAACCGGTCTCTGTCCCATGCCAGATCAATGTTGTCCATACATCGCACCTTATTTTCTTAACATCTACTTTAATATTATCCAAGCGTCTACGTACATCAACCGAGTTATCTCTTCCCTTCAGATTTTCTGGCTACCAGTGTCCATTGCAGCCGGATGGCTAAATAAATTCAATAATAATTTAAAACATAGTTTTAAATTCCGTTTGCTACTCCGTGGAAAGCCTATTAAATAGTCCCATACGTATGTGAAACAAAACAGGAGAACTTGTATAAAATTTTTAAAGAAATTTTATATTGCAGAATTTCAAGAAAAGTCATCCGAATTTTCATTTCGATGGGGCAATATTTGACATCACAGCAATAAATATTTTCTGAGCTTATCTACCGAAATAATTTGTTCAGTGTACATTCCACACACACGCTGTTAAGTAAAAACGTATTCCCAGGATTATCACCCGTCACCCTCAAAATCCATTTTAGAGCTATACAAACGGTGTTCGAAAAAACCTTCCTCTCACAACCAAGGACATAAGAATAGATCGTTATTTTAATATTTGCAAAATTACGTCTTGAGGCATGACAAGTTTGTCATGATGTGTGACCATAAAGTTTTGAGGGACAAAACTCTATCCTAACATACTAGGATTCAAATATGACGGCGGGTGAGAGTTAATATGCAACGTCATTAACAAAGACGCGACCACATGAAACACAATTACTCCATTCACACACAGAAGAAGGCAATGGCAAACCACTTCTGGATCATCTGCCAAGAACGTATATGAACAGGTCCCAGTCCGAGAAAAGGATGGAAGGATCCTGTTCATATGGACCTGGCGTCAGACAGAACACTAAATAATAATAAAACCATTGTTACACATTTTCGTTTCACTTTTTGTCGTATGACACTGACCCTAAAATATAGACGTATTTACGTCAAAAAATTAAGCCTGCTTTAAGATAAATACACGGAGTTTTCGTCCGTGGCATCCCAACAATTACTCCATACACACAGAAGAAGGCAATGGCAAACCACTTCTGGATCATCTGCCAAGAACGTATATGAACAGGTCCCAGTCCGAGAAAAGGATGGAAGGATCCTGTTCATATGGACCTGTCGTCAGACAGAACACTACAAAAAAAATAAATGTTTTAATATCCTCACCTGTTCCCTGCACCAAAAGCTATAAGAGTTCCTATCTTTTCATTGTCCCCGAGGACGTTAGCGAGGTAGGCCACGGAACGGGGAGAAGTGATTTGAGTCTGAGCTATATTTCCCGCGAGATCCAGGTCTTGGAGTATTCTGCACATTACAGCAGGACCAAAGCAGAAGGCACAGTCCTGTAATTTACAGTTCTGATACAGCAGACACCCGACAAACCCCGAATCTCATAACATTGCTGTATTAAAATGAAAAAAAAATAATTTACCTGGTAAAATCTTTATTCGATATTACTTTAAAGTTACTGTGCACTTACTAAATGCCTATAGACAGTTGTTGAGTTATATTAGTGAAAGACATAAGAAGGTGATAAATGCAAATGGCGTTATAATTATCCCACATCGATAATTTTTAATTTAACATAAACTTTAACATTTCATTCGGTCGGAAACACTTGTGAAATGTTCTCGATATTTCGCTATTATCAAAGTTTACCTGTAGAACAATGAGTTGTTTTCTGACGATGGTGGATTGGGCGAGATTAGACCGAAGTGTGGGATGGAATTTAATGACCTTTGGGCACATCTCGTGGTACGTGTAGCTGAGTGCGTCGACTCTCAACTGTTCGTGAACCAGCCTCTTCAGACCAGCTTCATCCAGCAGACGTGTTACATAATCCGTGCTACGTGCAGAAATTAAAATACAAGATTATTCATAACTTTCGGTACTAACTTTGCTCGCTGTGATTTATCTAGAAGATTTCAAGTTAATCAGGAATAACTGACAATTGATATTTATCTTTACGAAAGCAATGTTGGATGGTAGCTGAAATAATATTTATGAACGTGTGTGTTGTTAAAACCGATGCTATGGTGATGATTTTAAAGAATGTTAGTCCTCAAATTATATACGCATTCCTCTGTAATTTTCAATTAATTCCAGTCTGGATATTTATTAGTTGGTGGGGGGGGAATATCTATTTCGTGGCGTCAGAGTTGAAGTAAAATATTGGATTTTAGTTGAAAGTGAACTCACTCGATCTTGAAAGTGTTAATCCAGGCAGTGACCGGAGCTTCGACCAAGGCCAGAACACGCTCGTCTCTGAGATGTGGTGGTAGAAGTTGGGACAGCTTAAGAGCGTTGTTCTTTATACGTAAACGAGAAATTGCAGCTGCAAGTTTCACTCTTACGCTCCACAACTTCGTGTCGGCGTTCAGAAGACCCGATTCCTCAAACATCCTTTCCCGGAGTAGCTCTTCGTGTTGGTCGCGGGGTAGGAATCGTCTCTTATAGAGATCGTAGAGAAGTAACCAGACAATCTTTGTTTGTTTCTCGAACTAGCAATGAAAATAAGTACCTCAGTGCTCAGTGTAAACCACATCGCCCGGGATTTATTAGTGAGAATTAATCCAAGGATTAAAAGAGCATATAAAAGAACAAGTTAGGAAATGTGTGTACTGTAATAATTCCAAAGCAATCACAAGAGTTTGTCTTTATCTTTGCAATTGGCGCCAATAACGTTATTGCTATCTGGGTTTAATGACTTTTGCGTGGGCTGGATTTCTGGTGGATTACAAGTTGATCCGTAATGTCATCAAGCCAAATTTTTCCCCCCCTTCCCCCCCACCCCCCGCATGTGACTGAGCCCAGAGAATGCAAGGTCCAGTTTCAACAAATTCTGTTTGTTCTTGGCGATTTTTTTTTAAATTGCCTTAATTTCAAATTTCATAAAATTTCGGTCGGCGATTTTCGAGTTTTTGCTGAAAAACACGTCAATTTATATTTGCGATTAGAAAGATAATTTCTTCTGGACAACGATATTGGTTCCCCTTCGTTAACAATTTTCTCAATGAAATTTTTATGTATCTAATGTCATTACTAACACCAGAAAATTGTCATTAATGCTCCCTGAACTGTAAGATCTTTTGTATATAATTCTTAAGAGTAAAACGTATACCGTGCTTAATTGTACTTGAAACTACTCCTGCTTCGACTAAAATTGAATATAGGTTACATTCTACATTAAATTTTCAAAAGAGTATTTTATCCCTGATTGTATAAACACCATTGCTTTCTTAATTATATTTATTTTATATATAAGCCATGTTTATCAGTAAATTTAATTTATTTTACCTGTGGACATTGGTCAAAGAATGCTGTATCAACCAAGGTCTGGTTCAAAACAGACTTATCTGAAATAAAGATAATAAAATATAATTTGTAGTACATATTGTGGTATCCGATAACACTTTTGGATAACTTCAAGGCATACAAATCTGAGTTTAAGTCACATTTGCACGTGCTTAGTACATCCAGTTCGGAATATCTGATCTCTCCATGCCCTAAAAAAATATAATTTTAGTTTTTTTTTGTACGGGTGTAGATCTTGGTCTCTCCCACTTGAAGAAATAAGGCAGGGGAATATGTGGTTGGATTCAGTTGGCTCAGGGCGGACTAGTGGTCGACACCAGAATATTTAACACTGCGAAAAATAAAAGACTATTTGCATTACTCTGATATTTCGCAAAAAGCTATTCTGTACAACGCGGAAAAGCAATTAGCTCCATTAATACTATCGTAGTACATACACAGTCTTTATAGATAATCGTGATTCGGATTACAAGTTTTTGTAATAGAATGAATTTAGATAAGATACCGAGGGCATTGAATGGCCAGTTCATTACTACTTTGTTAAGGGCAGATTAGGATCAGTTCCGTATAAAGATGGCGGTCATTACCACCGCCCTGATACAGATTAGGATCAGTTCCGTATAAAGATAACTGCTACCTCCATCAACATGGCGGTCATCACCACCGCCCTGATGAAGAAGGCAGAAAGCGCCTCCGAAACGTCGGCAAACTTCTACCAGATTAGAAGGTGTAACACTAGCAGACGTTTGAATCTAAAAATCTCACGTTCCATATAAACTTTTAAGTTTGTTTTTGGTTGCACAGACACTGAGTACAGAATGAAATTACAAACCTTTGCCGTAAAGCATTAGGATCCAGCCTTCTGCGTTTAACCACGAAAGCAGGTTCGCGTGTTACATTTAGATACTGCAGATGAGAGTAGTTGATTTGCATGGCACGTGAAACATAACACTACTTGGTGTAGGCAAATTCACGAGTGTTAAGATCTTGATTTATGCTTAAAGGTTTTCGCCTGCTAAGACAGTACGGTCTGCGACACGCTCACTAATTTTCCACATGCAAATGTGCAGGTGTTTTAAAGGTTTTCATTCAAGAAATGTTCATAAATATATATTAACGAAGAAAAGGCTTCTTGTAATAGGGTAATTTAAACCCCTATATTATGCTGCTTGTTGGACTTTAACTTTGGGGTAACAGTTTAGAGCAGTGATATTAAATCTTTTTTGTTCGCGTACGCCCAGATATAATTTCTCTTCAACTTTGTACCCCCAAAGTTGTTGGTGTATAATTCAAGTTATACATAGTATATAATCTACATCTAAAATAAATTAAATAAATTAAATTACTGATTATTCAGTGTTTATCATAAAATAATATATATATTTTTAAATTTCACGTACCCCCTAAGATGTCTTCGCGTACCCCCGGGGGTACGCGTACTCCAGGTTAAATACCACTGTTATAACTCGTGCACAAAGTTGAGACCATTTTGAGAACATTATTTTTTAAATAATGTTCTCAAAAAATTTGAATACGGTTTTTAAAATCTTGTCCTGAAGCGAATGAAACAAAGCGAAACATCCCAGTAGGCGAAACTTTGTCCTTCATCTGTCATGGCTGATGGAGTTTTGTAAACTGATTCAACTTGTAACAGGCTCCGAATATGGGTCAGTGATTATGAAAACTGTAACTAACTTTCGATTCCATAAAAAGTATGGAATTTCTTGTCTATGTCAGATTATTTTTTAAAAAAAGACAGACTCTTACATCTGAAGACATCGTAGACAAGTGAATACACGTGACGCATTTCTTCGTCATCGTCGAAACGATTGGAAAGCTCCGGTGATGCGAGGAGACGCCCGGCTTTGGCTATGTCGGACATGGTCCATGCTGTCTCCACAGACAGGGTCGACGACAGAGACAAGCCCGAGTCCAGGGCAGCAGAGGAACATCGGGGTCTCTTGACTTCTGGCTGGGACGAGGAGGAACTTTCTCTCGCCTTCCCTGCCCACGAAGTCGCCATCCTATTACAAAAGGAAGGAGCGAAGTACTTTCTTATACTTTGCAATTTAGATATCCGTCTGCTTAATTGAGTGAATGCAATGAATAAGATATGGATTGGACGACCGGGATTCGAATCCCGGTAGGATCGAATTCCTCTTTTATGTACAAAGTCCAGATCGGCTCATGGGCCCACCTCATCCTCCCATCCAATCGCTTTTCTGCTCTCCCAAAAACGTTCTGATATTAACTTTTATTTTGGTTACCCTAAGATAGAAACAAGCTTTATAAATATAGAAATAAATAAATAAATAAAATCTTAACAAAGTCACGACAACAAACATAAGTTCTCGTTTTACGTCACTCGTTGTGCGGATGACGTTAAATATGGTTCATAACGTAAGATTGGGCTTATCTTCAACGCTAATACATGTCAAAATAGAAATAAAAACTTTATTTATAAGCCTGTGCTTGGTTTTAATGTCTCTCCGTCACGCTACAAACTTACAAGAACGTTTGACTGTAATAGAATCGCGAAATAAACTTTGCTATTACGTCTAAATAGCTTTCTAAATTTAACTGTTAATATTATGTTCTCAGGTCGAAGGAAATCATCATGAAGCACCACCTCCAACTCTCATCATCATTATCATAATCGCGAAATTGGTTTCTTTGTCTACTTAAAAATTACATCCGTTCTATACGTAAGTCTGGGCCATGTCGTGAGGTAAACACGTGACTTGTAACTTCTCAACTTTAGACTTATTTTAAATTGAATTTATAAAACTACCCTTAACAGTTCAAAATATTCTTCTTATTATTCGTTTTGTCTTGAAGAAATATAGATTTCAAAAGATAGTGTAATTGCGTCATATTGTGAATATTATATCAATTATTTATTTTAATCCGTCTGATCACAATATCATTTTTTATTTAAAATTTCTTATAATTAAGATAATAAAATATCATTCATGTTCCATATCGATTGATCGATTTACATTTCGGAACATTTACACAACATGTTTCGGTTTTTATAAAACCATCATCAGGTGTAAAATATATCTAAGAACTTAAAACTCAATTATGATTTCTGTAGTTTTTTGGTGATGTTTCATTACGTTTGTTTTTCCATTTTTGGGCGAAGGTGTTGTTTTTCTTAAATGTTATTAGATGTACATATCGGCCAAAGATGTAGGAGTGAGTGTCCCGATATGAAATGTTCCGAAATGTAAATCGATCAATCGATATGGAACATGAATGATATTTTATTATCTTAATTATAAGAAATTTTAAATAAAAAATTATATTGTGATCAGACGGATTAAAATAAATAATTGATAGATTTCAAAATAATTTTGTTTTCAAACAAGATTTAACTTTTAAAATAAATATATATATTTTTTAAAAAATTATATGTACATTCTGTAGTTGAGCGGGCTTCTCACTTTGCTTACAGCTGTAAACTTTAATTTTAATGTCGAATAAATACGAACTCAACAATTCTAGGAAGAAACTTGCTTTGATCGCTTAAACCCCAAACACACTGCCGGATACTGTTTAAATTGTGTTTGTTTGTTCAACGTAATTTTCTCACGTGCTGTCATCAATTTTACAAGTTTTAACAATACCTAGACCTTTGTTTCACACATATCGATGTATTGTTAACTCTGACGTTACAGGTTAAATCAATCTGTAAGAAGTAAATTATAATAATGAACCTCCTACGTTTTAATTCTCAACAATGTTAATGTAATGAATTTAATATCTATTTGCATATATTTTCCTCCGAGCCAGGCGTTTTAAAGCTAGGTTATGTTCTCTGACAGAAACACACTAAAACCTCCCAGCCGATGGAAACAAATAGACCTGTGGTGTGTGTTCAATTTCCTACCATCAATATCAGAATGATGTGTTTAGGTAATAAAATTTCCAAGAAGGACGTTTTTAATATATTTCATCCACAAAGCGTACATGAAATATGTAGTCGGCATACAAACCTGAATAATGATTGGCAGGTATAATCACAACTTTCATATGTTTATTGTTAGACTGAATAAGATTTATTCACAACAATGAAGCACTAAAAAAATACGGGAGCGTTCAATAGGACAGTTTCTGCAATGTTTTACCTTCAGAAAGAACCCAACTTCTATATTTAAAGACGAAAATAAACAGAGACAGTGTATATGTGTGATTGGCAATAATGGACGAGAACTGTGGAAGATATAACAGAAATATTTGTATATTTTTGATTGCGTCACGCTAGTGCATGCTCTATCAAAAATTTCGCCCTGCCCAAGATGGATTATCGACCTCAAAATATATTTATGGTCATTAAGATAGTTTAAACATTATTATAAACATGAGTCGTATCATCTACATTCAAATAAATTCAGGTATTCACATGTTTGGACGCTGAAAATGTTCAAATTTACGATACCAGGAGTTGGACAATGAAATCTGTAACGACAGTCTTCATTGTCATACGTAAAATGACTCTATTTTTTTTCCATTTATTAACAAACTAAGTTAGAAATATGTACTGAGCATGAAGAAAGAAAACGCTTCCTAATGGCGTTACAGCTCAGCAATGTCTCACCACGACAAAATCAAAAATAAAATTTGAGACAGTAACAACTACAATAATTTCATCAAATTTAGTGTATCATCGAATGAAACCGTGACAACAGAGACAGTAAATTCCTCCGAAACGTCGGTAAACCACCGGATTACACTGCACATCACCTTCACGCTCGTTTCCATGGCAATCTCCTCAGTATCTAATTCCACAGCAACTCACCCACTAATTCTCCATTTGCTACATTTTGACGGACAGACATGGGGAAGCTAACACGCGAATTCTTTAAACTATTCCTTGTGAACGCGCTAAAAAACTCGATATATAAGAAAAAATCACGATGATACATTCTAATAAATAAATTTCTACAGATAACTTACCGATTCGCACCCATTGCTCGTTGCAGTTCCAATAATCTGTAGTAATTTTTCATACGCCAAACTTTGTTACTGGGTAAGAGTACGTCGCACTGGATACCGTCCGTGTCGGTCTGAGGATTTATAAACAAAGACATTACGAGCTCGAAAAAAACACACACACCGGATAAAAAAGAATTGTCCCTTAATTATGACAAGAAAGCTTCGGGAAAATTAATTAATCAATTTCGATTATATAATTTTGTCGCACGTCAATATTTCGCTCCAAACAGCACCGAAGCAAACTCCTCAGGTCTGCTACCCTTACATTCAGTCGTACGTAATAAACAGAGATTCACCTTCGCCGTGTTTACGTCCAAGGGGTTTGCGTTCCGTAAGGAATTTATGTGATGATTCCGGTGGATTGTGGAGGGTGGAATGATGAGGTCAGAGGGGATGTGGTGGGGTGGGGGTTGTGTGTATATATATACACACAGACAAAAATTTACCTAACATGCGAAATTGTCTAGGATATGGAGATGACGAGTAGAATTGGTAAGAAGAGGGAGGGGGGTGAGAGAGGAGATAGGAGGGGTGTGTGGGGGTTGGGGTGGCGCATGCACTGCTTGTCTGACTGTCAGGTTGAGGGCACGTTAGCCCATACATCTCGTGACGAATCTTTCAAATTTTGCAAGCAAATACTTAACCTGAGAAATTTATTAGTTGTTTTCTCAGTTAAATTTTTTTTTTGAAAACAGTTTCGTAAAAATTTAAATAAAACGTTCTTTGGATATTTTCCATCGTCTAGTAAAATAATGAAATAGAAACGACGTTTCGGAGATGGGGCTCTATCTCCGTCTTCACGTATGACCGAAACTTCCTCAAAGTTCCTCATTCTATGTCGTGCGGCTAAGCAATAATGATTATTAATTAAAATGTTTCCGAAAGGAATAGTAACTAAGGATTCATCTGTGAGATTTAGGCTTTTCGCTACGGCGAGTATGAAGATCGTCTTCTGGAATTTTGCGCCGCGTAATTTCGTAAAAATTAGCCAAAGTTTCAGAGGTTCTTACTACCTCCAACATCAGGATTTCGTCCTGATGATGGAGGCAGTAAGCACCTCTGAAATGTAATCAATTTCTACGAGAATACACAGGGCCCTATTAAGAATTCCCTTCATCGCCCATTCAACTGAAGCGAAGTGTCCCAGGAAGGACTTCTTTAAACGCTGTACACGGCGATGTTTTGTTCGCGTGTCATTTTAAATTAAAACTGTCGATGGGAGGTAAACCTGGGACACGAGAGACTGAAAGCGAAGAGAAAATTATGTAATTATTATGATAAATGATACTTTTCATTCACTTCATTACTTTTCTTGTCCTAAATTACGTGTCAAGAGTGCAATAAAGTTATTATTAATGTACGTACGTATTTCTAAAGATTCCGAAACTAATTGCGATGTCGTGTCGAAACGTCACTTCAAATTCTCATTATTCTTTCCTCTTTCGAGCTCCTAGACATTCGACGTTTGTTATCTCAATGGAATACGTCTCTTCTCACGTATTTCAATCTACCACACAGCAAAGGTGGTTAGATCAGAAACTGCCAATCATTCAAAATAACAAAACACTTCTACAAAGCGGGGGATGGTAATAATGATAATTGTAAACACAAATGTAATCATAAAACGTGTTTGTATAAATCGGATTTTAGAAGCAATATTACGACATATGAGATTCGAGGTTTTCGAGTATCGATTATGTATCGTGTCCCAAACCAGTTCATATCCTATTTATTTTTATTTAATATACATTATTGTAATATTTTAATATTTAATAAGACTTTATTGTGATTAGACGGACAAGATTTAAATAATATATATTTATTATATCACAATATGACGCAACTTTACCATCTCATACACTTTAATATTATCATTCTATCTGCTTTTAGGTCTGAAGGTCCTACTGTGCAAATGCATCTATAAAGCTGTTACTTCTTACCACAAAATAAACAGCCACACTCTTTTATTATCATTATTATAAACGTATGAGGGCATAAGAGTGGTTCCATTTTGAAATCTAAATTATTCTGTATTTTGGAATATTCTAAGCAGATTTTATAGCTGATATCTAAGACCAATTTAAGAAACGATTATAAATTTCATTCTTACCGTAAAGGAAAACACAAGCGAGCTGCTTTACAAAGATCAATTAGTAAATGTAGTTTCTGGAAAATAATCGTTGTTTACTCCGAGAATCATATGAACCCCGGAAATTCACTCTGCGGGCAAGAATCAAAACAGAAGCTGGCGATTCTAAACATTTCCGACGCAGTAATTAATAATCCCCCATCGTTTGAATTTTGGCCTGCACCATTTTCCTTCTGAATGAAAATTTGACGTTAGTATGACGTATGAATGAGAGAAACTTAAAAAAAAGTTCTTTACGGAAGTTAACACAACTGAGAAGGAAATTTAACTACGTCTTGAAGTACAACAAACAGATGGGTTGAGGAAAATCTATCACAGCTTGGAGGGGGGAGGGGGGGGGTAGAACGGAATGGGGGGGAAAACCTTGCCCTAAATCACGCAATGAAACATTAACTACGACCTACAAAAAACCTAAGGTTAATAATATTCTATTTTATTTCAGTCTAAATGATAAGAGTCTGAATGACAGATACGATGGATGATCTATTCTATTCTTATCCTAAACTCTGACGTTGTCTGAAGTCACGTTTTAATCTGAATCTTCTACATCAGTTCTTTACATTCTTCTTTCCACTGAGTTATTGTGACCCAAATTTAGTAATTTTATTTTTCGCCCAGTTTCAATGCGAAAAACGTCTCTTAGAAAGTATTTTATGTAAATTATATTAAACAAATGGTTTTAAAATTATAACGAATACTTGGCGCTGCATTCACAAATAAATACATTAAAATATACCGCATTTTATAACATATATTCACAGGAATAAAGATAGTATGGTCAAAATCTGTCATAAGGCACAGAAAATCAGGTGTCTTTTGTGAACAGGCTCTTATGATACATGAAATTAAAGATATTTAGTGTTCTCATGGCGGCGACTGTAAAGATGACTGTCTTCTGGGTTCTAGTGACGTGTGATCTGTTTAACGACGTTTCAGAGGTACTCTATGCCTCCGTCATCAGTCGCCCTGATGATGGAGGCAGTAACGATCTCTGAAACGTCGTTAAACTTTACAAGACTACACGGCGCAACAACCCAGAAGACAGTCATCTTGATACATGAAATCCAATGACGTTTAAACAAGATATTCCAGTATAAATTACAAGGTATGAAATTTCATCAAAATCTGTCGACCTCAAAATACGATATTAAGGTAAAAGGAGCCCTTATGGAAAGTTGCCCTTAAGATACGCCAAAGTAAATCGAAACAGCTAAACAACATTTATTGTAGGACAACCATACAGAATTTGATCAAAATCGGTAAGCTAGTTTCAAAGCTCTTATCTGCAAACAGACGGATAAGTGACATTCAAAACCTGTTTTGAAAATACACCTCGAACCCAGTGAAAGACACAGGAAACACGGCAACAAAATGAATGATCGCGTATAGCGAAAAGACCGTGTAATGCAATCAGCACAGTCGCCAATTAACCTCACTAAACCACTTTAAAATAAAAAATGCATGCGAGGGGAGGGGGGGGCACTATAGTTCTAACCATGAATGTGAAATACCTCGAGACCACACGCAACAAATAAACTAAACCCAAAAATACCTCAGATACCAATTATAAATGTACTCTGCTTATATGCAAATATGTAGCACACATTAGCCGATCTATATACAAAAATTATAATAGTTCTAACCTTCAAACATACCTTAACCAGCCGAAACACATCCTCGGGAGGTTAAAAAACCACTTCCAGAAACACTCAATGTCACATTATTAAAACCACTCGAAACAGACATTCTACAGAATAGACTGCTTGCACGACAGGCCTATATTACACCAATAGACTTCCTTTTGGCTACGCTAAGAGCGAATACTATTTCGTGTACGACGTGGTACAAGCAAGTTCTAACTGCCTCATCACAAACTGGCGCTTTTAACCAATTGAAAATTAGAGTGGTCATGGATGGGGTGGGTAGAACTCACAGACAGAGGGCGCCTGGAGCTAAAATAGTAAAACTGGAAATCGATTCCTGCTAATGGCCCGCAAGACGTACGAGGTGATTCAGTATTACCTTTCACAAATCCGAGTGAGAGTTGCATTACCATAAACAAATAACATTAGAAATACTCGTTCGACCAGAAATATCTCTATTTTCCATCACGGTCATTTAAAACAGATAAGCGAAGAAACTGATTCCGACATAACCACAATCTTTCTTCAGTAACGTGACTGGAAATTTAATTATTTTCGAAGTACTACAAATAATTACTACTACAGTACCATAGATTGTTCTTGAGGCGTGTTACCAGTCTTCGCTTTGTAGTACAGGTCTGTGACGTTTTAAGAACACAGATGTTACACAAAGCGAATAATTAAGATAAAAATCCATTTATTTATTCGATAAGAAGCATGTCGGATTTGTAATCCCATTCCTCATCGTAGTTGAGTAACCTCCCGGCATTCGAAATCACAACAAACCATAGATGATTACACCACTGACAAGTACCGTACTGTCCAAGAAATTTCCAACAGGGAACCTCATCACGTTCTACGAAGATCTTCCAGTGAATATTTTTAGGGCATCCTACAATGGGATCAAAAGGTTTAATACCCCGTTCATAAGAGCCTTGCACTGATTCCCATCTCTGAGACAGATAAATCCACTCCACGACCTATTTGTAAGTTCCATTTTAATATTATCATTCCCGTCTATATTTTCTTCCACGTGGATCTCGTCTCTGACTGCTATATATCCCTCCTGGAACACCCGCAAGTGAATTTTGATAAATGACAAAGCCGTAACTTCAGCTACGTAGTGTCTAAAAACTTTTGGTCACGAACATTTCGAAATTACGAGTGACATTTCAAGAACAAAAGCACTATTTTAATACCAGTGTTAGGAAAAATAAGCAAATTCTTGAATTTGTAACAATTTCAAGGTATTTAAAATGTTTACAAGAAGAATATTTTAATCATCAGAAGGGAAAAAAAAAACTAAATCAAAGCAGAAAGGAAATAAATTTGTACAGAACACATGAAGAAATATTCACTATAACTGTTCCTGAACCATCAAAAACAAACACCGACTTTGAATTTATAACAACTATCAGATGACGTATGAATACATTCTGTACCAAAATCAGGTGAGAAAAAATTAACATTTTACTTTTCAACTGCTTAATAATTTTTATGTGATGGTACAATTTTGCAAACGTCTTCAATCCCCAGAAGTACTTAAATCTGAATCACGTGGCATGCACATGGAATTTCTATCATGTAACCTACTGGAAAGTGTTCACTTGGAAAACCAAGATACTGACGGATGGAACTCGCTGTGTCCAACGGTGGGCTTCGGTATTAATTATATTTTTATATTCTATTACTACGACGTCTGTTAGTTTCCTGTGGTAGCTGAACGTAAAAATAAAAGATGAATAGGTTAATTAATTAAACTTATAATTACAGGTTTAGTCCTTCAAATGTCCAAGTTTGCTTTTAATTTATTCAACATTTCCTTCTCAACTATATGGTTACATGGTGAGGTGAGGAATTATAAAGAACGACTTGGTAAGGACATGGAAATATTTCTAGTACGTCCTATCAAAACAATTACCTGGGGCGACCAATAAAAAACCACAGAAATCCTCGATCACGATCTCCTACTTCTAAGACGATAATGAACCCGTGATCTCTCGAATACAATGCCGAGAGTCAATAACTCAACCCCCGACAATCAGCTACACTTCGTTGTACGTAAATTTCGACATAAACGTGATCTCTTCAACCAAAGGTAAATAGGTACATTTTAAAATTAAAAACTAGGCCTATAATTTTATTGTTTATTAACAAGTTGTCACACTCCACAAAAAAAAAAAGAACTATACAATACATATCACTTACCTACACAGCTGTCATTGCACGACACGTCAATTTCAATTTAATCACCAATATTATTTTATACATCAAATTTTAACTGCAACGTCACAAAATCCACGCGGCCGTTAACATCCTTGACGTCTCGCTCAAATCTTCTTACGGAACAATCCCGTTCCATTACCAACATAAAAAGTAAATGATGACGTCACACTTCACAGGGGATCGGCTTCGTACCAAAGAGAAATT